TAAGGACCTTTTGCGCCCCTCAAAGCTGAATGGGTAAGTAACTACCCCAACAGTGAGATAACCAGCATCTTTTGAAATTTGGGCAACAACAGGTGCAGCACCAGAACCCGTACCACCACCCATTCCAGCAGTTATAAACACCATATCTGAACCCTTGAGAGCATTTGCAATGGCTTCCTTTGATTCCTCCGCTGCCTGTTCCCCGAGAAGAGGATTGCCCCCCGTACCTGCATTCCTACCATGAGTTCATATTTTTCTCAAAAAATGAATTCGAAGACTTGCACAATGTTTGGTTCAAGAGTTTGAAAAGGAAAAGAAAAGAAAATGAGATGGAAAACAACTTTTCTTTTTTGGATAGAGAGGAAAAGAAAAGTTTAAGGAAAAAAATGAGAAGACAAAATTTACTAAGAGGAAAAAAAATTCCTTCCATTTTGGTGAGGAAAATGAGAAAACTGTTTTCTTTTCTTTTCCTTCCAAATTCCTTAAACCAAACATAGTGTTAAAGGCCATCATGGAAACACACATTGAAATTTAAAAGGAGGTAGCATTAGGCCAATTGTATATAATCTTAAAATGTTCTTTGCATACATATTTCTACATTACTATTTACATAGTACTAGGTTTATTTGAAGACAGAATGCCTCATGAAAGAAGTACAGCTCTACAAGATTAATGTCTCTCGCATGAGAGATATAGATAGAGAGTAAATACCTAGTCCGCGAGTCAGAAGCTCTCCAATTTGAATTGGGGTTTCAGCAGCAGACTGCACCAGTGCCTGAGCATCTGTATTAATGGCATAAAAATCTACTCCCTGTAATTGAGCAAGCAATCGGTCAAATTGACCACCCGTAACCAACATTTACCGCAGAACATTAGAAAAAAAGATTAAAACAATGCAAAAAAAGCTTGGGAAACTAAATAAAAAAGTCAGAATAAATTGAAATTAAATACTTCTGCAATCCTAAATTGGCAATCACAACCTTACAGCAAATCAAAATTTCATATCTATGGATCCTCAATTCAACATTTCACATTGGCAATTAGGTTCCCCAACAAGAGAAATGATATGACAGTAATCTACTTGATAAATTCACATTTGCATTGGGTCTTGGGTGGCCCAGCCAAGCCTATTTTCCCCAAATGTATGTTCTTTATCACCACAAATACAAGTACTGTGAGCGTGAAAACATGAAATGCTTGCCAAAATTGACATAGTAATGAGCAGTCGATGCCACTAAGCAATAAAACAAAAAAAAATTGAGCCGCAGACCTGCAAGCCGCTGCAGATCATGCGATTGACGGCATTGTTGCCACCACCACCAACTCCGACGACCTTAATCTTGGCGGAGTCCATGGGAACGAAAGAACAACGGACGGAGAAGCGGAGTTGTTTTGAAATGTCATTTCTTCCAGACGCAGGGCCTGGAGAAATACGCCACCGTCTAGGGATGAACGAAGAAGACGGTACCCTGGTCTTGCAAAACCCTAGGGAAGAAGAAGAAGAAGCTAACTCTGCAGGGCCTGCATATCCGAACATCGCCATCTCCGAATCCTAAAACAGAGAAGATATTAATGATCCATTTTTCAAATTTATGGAATCTTCCCGGAGCCCCCGTAGCGTTGTCCTGCGAAATTTTTACGAAAATGGGCGGAAAAAGATTGGAATTTTATGAGATTGGTATGGCAATTCGAGTCTTTCGAGAAAGAATAGCACGCAGAAATATTTCGGTTGTAGTATATCAAGTCATTATTTATCTACTTTTTTAGTTAAATGTTTTTAATGACTCATAATTAAATAAATTATATATTTTATATTAACTAAATAAAATAATATTTTGAAAATATTTCATATAATAAATCTAATAAAATTATTTTTATATTAATATTTAATATCATTTTTATATAATTTGAGGTCAAAATTTATCAATTTTGACTGAAAAAAGTCAAAAGTAGAAAAATATGCAGGGACAGAGAAAATATATGCTTAGAAAATACGGAGTATGTACTAATATTTTCTGTTTTCGAAAAAAATATGCAGGGACAAAGAAAATATATGCTTAGAAATTTAACTAAATTATGAGTAAAAATAGAGAAAGTATGAATATAACCGTTCCATGTTTTTATGTCTAAAATAAAGGTACAATGCAAGCATATAGTATCAAAAAATATACTTGGATGCCACTACACAGTGAAATAATATCACAACATAAATTTTTATTTTGAATATAAAAATATTGAATTTTTATTTTGAGGATAAATGCGATATTTTAGAGAAAGTCCCTTATGAGGGGCACTTCCCCTTCCTTAAATGATTGGGTGCTGGAATGTAAGAGGATTGAATAGTCCTAATAAGCAAGATGAAGTTATGTATTTCTTGAAAAATAATAATATTGATCTATGTGGACTTTTGGAAACCAAAATTAGGGAGAGTAAGTTTGAGAATATAGAAAAGAAGATTTGTCAAGGATGGATGTCTTTTATCAATAATTCTGCCCATCCATTAGATAGAATTTGGGTACTTTGGAAACCTAACAAAATAAATATTACCATTAAGAAATGGTCTGATCAATGGGTCCATTGCTTGGGTAGAAGGCTGGATGAACATAAGGAGGTTTTTATCACATTTGTGTATGGGCATAATGAGGCAGCTAGAAGGGTAGATCTATGGAAAGATCTAGGTACTATTGCTTCAACCTGTGATAAACCTTGGTGTATCATAGGTGACTTCAATAGTGTGTTGGAGCTGGATGATAGGATTGGTGGGAATCCAGTAACTATTGAAGAAACTTCAGACTTCAAGAATTGTGTTCAAACTTGTGGCTTGGAAGAAATTCCCAGTGAAGGCTCCAAATATACCTGGTCTAATAGACAAGGATGTGGTAGGAGAATCTACTCAAAGATTGATAGGGCACTTGCTAACATTGATTGGTTCAATTGTTTTAACACAAAAATTTTGGTAAAAGAAGAAGGACCGTCAGACCATTCCCCACTCCTCATGAGGGAAATTCACACTGGTAAGGGTAACATCCCTTTCAAATTCTGCAATATGTGGCTTTTAGATCCCCTATTTCCTACACTAGTTGAGGCTGTATGGCAACAAAGGAGGGAGGGGAGATATATGCACCAATTAGTTTGCAACCTAAAGGATCTGAAACCAGGTCTGAGGAGATTGAACAAGGATAAATTCTCACACATTTATCAGCAATGCAACTTACTAAGGGAACAACTATTCCAGATCCAAGAGGCTATCAAAGGGAATGCAGGAAGTGATCTGATTACTAAAGAATTGGAAATTATCAAAGAACTGAACTGGAGGTTGAAGGCGGCCAGACTAATGAAGCTCCAGCAAGTTAAACAAGAATGGATCCAAGAGGGGGACACAGATTCCAGACTATTTCATGCCTGGATTAAAAAAAGGAGACTCAAAAATCATATTAGTTTTATCCACAACCCATCAGGACAGGTGGTTGAAAAGAAATCTGAAATTGCACAAGTAATGGTGGACTATTTCCAGAAGATGATTGGGACTACTGAGTGGACAAAGGATATCCAAAAGAACATTATTGAGGAGGGGAAAGTTATGTCATTGGAACAACAAATCCAACTCATAGCACCTATTTCAGCTGAAGATGTAAAGAAGCATTTATTTGACATCCCTCCTTGTAAAAGTCCTGGGCCTGATGGCTTTAACAGTGGCTTCTTTAAGCACCAATGGCACCTAGTTGGAGATCTTGTTACCAAAGCTGTTCTGGAATTTTTTAAGGATGGTGTAACATTTCAGCAAATTAACCATACCAATATCTGCCTAATTCCTAAGGTTGACTGCCCTACCTGCCCTAGTGATTTTAGGCCTATTGCTTGTTGTAATGTGATTTATAAGGTTATATCTAAAATTATATGTAGCAGATTAAAGGTGGTACTTCCTCACATTATCAATTCTAATCAGGGGGCTTTTATAGAAGGAAGGGAATTAGTTCATAATGTCCTGTTGTGTCATGAGCTGGCTAGAGGCTACAACAGGAAAGGTGTTAGCCCCAGATGCTTGATGAAATTAGATATTAGAAAGGCCTATGACTCAGTTAGCTGGAAAAGCCTCTTTCAAATTATGGATGTCTTGAAGTTTCCAAAAAAGTTCATTGATTGGACTCACTATTGTGTCACTACAGCTGCCTATTCAGTGCAAATGGATGGAGAGGTGTTTGGATACTTCAAGGGTGGAAAAGGTGTCAGGCAGGGTGACCCAATTTCCCCCCTCCTGTTTACCCTTATCATGGAATACCTTACCAGAATGTTCTCCTTCAATTGCAGGAATGACAAGTTTAAATTTCACCCCAGGTGTAAATCTCTTAAATTTGTCAATATTGTTTTTGCTGATGATTTGATTGTGGCTTGTAAGGCTAACCCTCAGTCCATTGAGTGTATTCTGGCTAGCCTTAAAGAGTTTAAGGAAACAACTGGTTTGATGCTTAACTATGACAAATCTCAAGTGTACTTAGGGGGAGTTTCCGAGGAGGAAAGCCAAAGTATACTTGAAAGAACTAATATGTCTAGAGGGACCTTTCCATTTAGATATCTTGGAGGTCCTATCTCTGCAGCTCGTATTAGTGAAAGGGAATGTGACAAACTTGTTGAGAAACTCACTATGCAGATTACATCCTGGACCACTAAGCACCTGTCCTATGCAGGAAGAGCTAGATTGATAAACACTGTATTATATGGGGTTATCTTTTTCTGGTGCAGAATTTTCTTACTCCCTGATAATGTTATGAAGAAGATAATGGCTTTGTGTAGGAACTTCCTTTAGAGTTCTACCCCAGATTATAAAAAATGTCCCCTCATTAATTGGGATGAAGTCTGTTTGCCTAAACAAGAAGGAGGGCTAGGTCTGAAAAATCTGTTGAAATGGAACCAGGCATGTCTCATGAAGCTCTTATGGGATATTGCCAATAAAAAAGACACCATATGGGTTAAATGGATCCACAATAAGTATCTTAAAGGATCATCTGTGTGGGACTACATTCCTAAATCGGATGACTGTTATTACTGGAAGAAGTTGGTTCAAACAAGGAGCCTGTTTATGGAAATGAATCTAACTAGCTGCTACACTGTCAAGGAGGGATATAATTGGCTAATAGGCAGCAAGCAAAAAGTGGAATGGTTTGGAACAAATGGTCTATACCTAAACATTGCTTCATAGCCTGACTTATATGGAAAGGTAGATTGCTTACTAAGGATAGGCTAAGCAGATTCATCAATCTGGATACTACTTGTGGCCTGTGCAACAATGGAGTGGAATCAGTGGATCATCTTTTCTGTTCCTGTGATTTGGCTCAAGTGATCTTGGAGGACATATCTCAATGGATACATGTTGATATCACAGCTGGGTCGATTAGAGAACTGGGAAGCAGAGTGGGGGAAGGAAAGAACAGAAAAAGTCGAAGAACCATAGCCACTTGCATTGCTGCGAGTTGCTACTTTATTTGGAAAGCTAGGAATGGCAAACTTCACAATAATAAGGAAGCTGCTAAGGAGTACATTGTACAGGAAATTAAGGCTGCAGTTACTATGGCAATAGGGCACAAAGTTAACATTAGTTCTGTTGCCTTATAAACTGTTATTTGGTTTTAGCTTGATTAGGTTGTTGGAGTTGTAATCTAGAATTGACTTGCTTTGTAATGTCTGGTTGGTTTTAATATATTGTGCTTTCGTTCAAAAAAAAATAAATGTGATATTTTACCCCTATTTGGTGTAATTTCTTTTTTCAAAAGTCATTTCTAAAAACCACTAAGATTTTAAAATGTTGCTCAGACATGAAACATCCCCTCCGACTATTTTTTGTTCATTTTTCCAATGAAGAAGGGACATCGATACCTAATTTTCAAACCACAATGGCAGACGGAATCCAATATCTTATTTCCCAGTTCTTTTTTTATTTTTTAAAAAATTATTCTTTATAATGTTTTATAAATAAAAAATGTTTATTTTTGAATTAAAAAATAAATAATATGAAAAAAATTAGCATATGCTTCTTCTGTATTGACTAAAAAAAATTTTATTTTTTATTTTCTAAAATAAAAAGAAAAGTTTTTTGAGATATTTAAAAAAGAAAATGGGTAATAGGAAAACAAAATAAAAGAAAAATATAATAGAAAAATAATTCATCTTTAACCAATTTCCTAAAATATTCTCACTTGTAGCTGGTCTTCCAAAAATAATCTCATCTTTCATTATGATGTGCAATAAGCTCACCTTTACTGGTGTACGCGTGTTTTGGATTAACGTTAAAGATTAAACAATCAGCTTAAATGTTTTGAAAGAATCGTTTTATTTTGTGCAAAAAGTGAAGGTGAGATTATTTGATTTAATTTTTTTAACCTAGAGGTTTTTAATTTTAAAATTTAAATTTAAAATTTTAAAATGACTATCTACCTTCATTCCTTTTTCTTTTTTTTAGATCAGCCTTGCCTAAGAAAAATAAAAAATAAGAAATGAAAAACTTTTAAGAACAAAATGAAAAACATAACCAAAACCCTAAAAACAATACAAAACAAAAGGTTATCAGTACAAACTAACCACAAAACGAATATTAAATTAAAAAAACAATAGTCATATAGAAAACACCATTACTTTATCACAATACATATGTAGTACTATACAAGTGTGTTATTCGTAAATATATATTTTGAATAAATGTAATGAATATAATGTGATTAAATTTTACTTTTAATTTTTTATATATATTTAAATAAATCAAATTAAAGATAAATTCAAGGTTCATTATTAACAATGTGACTAATCACCATTGGGAGGAGATAATGCATTTCAGGCATATTCTTGTGTTAAAAAAATAACTTCTAACATTTTTCCAATTTTTATTTTTTTTCAACTCTCTAATTTCTTCTAACAACGACTTTAAAAAGTGTTTATACATGATAAATCGGCATAGTTCCCATGACATTGGGAATCAATGTCATTGGAATGACCCGGGTCTCTACAGTGCTGTTTAAAAAATTGACGGTTTCTATCCCTCCAATATCCACGATAAACTCCCCACTCTGGCCCGGCCGGAACCCCCTCCCCCCATCCCTTCAATTCTCAACTAAATTTTGATACGCGAATATATTCGCCATTGTTTCATTTGTCAGACCACGAAGTACTCTACACAGCCCCCGGGGGGACTATTGCAGCCGCTGCCCATACCCGTGCAAGTGTGGGACGATATCTCGATGGATTTTATTGTGAGCTTACCACCATTGAGAGGCTTTTCGGTTATTTTGGTTGTGGTCGACAGATTGACGAAGTTTATTCACTTGGGGGCTTTGCCGGCAGATTTTGACGCACACCGCGTGGCATTCTTATTTGTGGATATCGTGGTTAAGCTCCATGGGTTTCCGAAGACGATTATCTCTGATCGCGACCGGGTCTTCGTGAGTAAATTTTGGCGCCACTTACTCAAATTGAGTGGGACAACTCTGCACCATAGCACCGCCTTCCACCCACAAACGGATGGGCAGACTGAGGTGATGAACAGGGGGGTCAAACAATATTTACGGGCTTTTACTCACGATACCCCAAATCGGTGGACGATCCTATTGCCATGGGCGGAATATGCATTGAATACAAGTTATCACAGCGGATTGGGCATGACTCCTTTTCAAGCTCTATATGGCCGTGAACCACCTACTATTTTACCATATACCCAAGGGGAATGCTCACTGCCAGCCGTAGATACACTCCTCACAGAGCGAGCGGAGACACTAATTCGGCTCCGTCGGAATTTGGAATTGGCGCAACAAAGGATGCGGGCGGCAGCCGATAAGCATCGGCGCGAGGTTCATTTTGAGGTCGGTGATCTCGTCTTGCTAAAGTTGCAACCGTACAGGCAGCACTCGGTCGTGACGCGCCGGTCACAAAAGCTCACCCGGCGTTATTACGGGCCCTTTCGCGTTACGGCCAAGGTGTGGTCGGCGGCCTATCGTTTACAACTACCAAATGGTTCCCGCATACACCCCGTATTCCATGTTTCCCTGTTGAAACCCTTCCGGGGGGACGCATCGCGCATCTCACCTTTGCCATTACCTGGGGAATTCCGCCATGGGGACCCCGTCTCGAGGCCAATTCGTATTCATGCTCAGCGCAGAGTGCTTGTCGGAGGAGCTACGGAAGTACAAGGGTTAGTGGAATGGTCGGACGGCGATAATGACGATGCTACGTGGGAGCCCTTGGACAAACTACGCCAATTCTATCCGGACTTACACCTTGAGGACAAGGTGGTAATTGAACAAGGGGAGAGTGTTACGACCGAATCCCAGGGCGAGGTGCATGGCAAACCAGGGACGCAGGCACCGAAGCAAGACAATGTGGGAGCACATCCATGCAAGGAGTTACGTCGGGGGTCGAGGGAAAGGAGACCTCCGGCGTGGCGGAAGGATTATGAGACTTAATATTTTATTGGTATTTAATTTATTTTATTGTCATTGTACCTTAGATTTTCTTAGGTGAGCGAATTATAAGCTCCTTCGAGGGTTTCTTTTCGGTTCTTTACCTCGATGCCTTTTTTTTTAACCGACAGGATAGATATTAGTTAATTAGGGTTTGGGGAACCATTATTTAAGGTGGTGTACATCCGCATGGGAGAATATGAAAAATATGAACCACTTTTCCCTACTCTCTCTCTCTAGCCTTAATTCCCCACTTCTTCACTTCCCTCAACTTCCCTCCAGCCGTTCAAGGCTTTTCTTCTCCCCTCATCCTCTTCCTTCTTCCTTTTTTACTGCCTTCGTAAGCTTGAAGGTGCCTTAAACCTTCCCTAGTTGATACGCGAGTGTATCAAAGGGGTGATGGGGGTTGGGTCGAGGGCGGGAAGATTATCGAAGATGAAGAAGGATAGAAACCGTCAATTTTTGGAATGAAGCATCGTAGGTGTCCCAACTAGGGCCCAAGTCATAGTATGACATTGGGCAAAGATGAATATCGAAATTACAACCCCAACTGAGCATCGTAGGTGCCCCTCCCATGATAAATATACAATAACATCATCGGTGGGGTTCTAGTGACACCAGAAAACGGTGCCACTAGCGGTGCCAATGCATTTTTTGGGGCACCTCCGGTGCTCCGTTCGTAAAATTGACGATTCCTACCCCCCCTAATCCACCCCCTAAACCCCCCACCATACCCCCACCCCTGCACCCCCACCCCAACCCCACCGTAAGTCCCCCACAAAATGTGTGGCTATTATGCAATGCATAATAGCCACACATTTTGTGGGGGACTTACGGTGGGGTTGGGGTGGGGGTGCAGGGATGGGGGTAGGGTGGGGGGTTTAGGGGATGGATTAGGAGGGGTAGGAACCGTCAATTTTACGATATTAGGGGGTGCATTGCATAATAGCCACACATTTTGTGGGATTGCATAATAGTCACACATTTTGTGGGGGGCTTACGGCGGAGTTGGGTGGGGGTGCATGGGTGGAGGTGGGGGTTTAGGGGGTGTGTTAGGGGGTAGGAACCGTCAATTTTACGAACGGAGCACCGGAGGTGCTCCAAAAACGCAGTGGCACTGGAGTGGCACCGTTCTCCGGTGTCACTAGAACCGGGCCGTAACATCATATATCCAAATTTATAAAATAATTTCAAACACAGACAAAGATGAATTTTTTAAAATCCAAATATAAAATTTTCTTTCATATTTATTTAGATGACTATTTAAATAGGTATTTTTAACACTTTAATTTTTCCAATATTTTTCAATTTTTTTTTCATTTTTTTCTAGCTTTTTGAAACACCAAACTTTAGAATTCCAATTGAAAAAAAATGTACTTAGAGCCTGTTCTTTAGGACTGGAAAAAAAGAGCTGGATGTTGGAAGAAACTAGAAAAAACTGGAAAGAACTGGAAGAAACTTGAAGAAACTAGAAGGAACTGGAAGAACTGGAAGAACTGGAAGAAACTGGAAGGAACTAGAAAAAACTGAAAGAAATTGGAAGAAACTGAAAGAAACGGAAAGAAACTAGAAAAACTTCAAAAAGTTGGAAAACCTAAAAAAACTTTAAAAAAATTATTTTAAATTATTATTATTATTATTATTATTATTATTATTATTATTATTATTATTATTATTATTGTCATCATCATCATCATCACCACCATCACCATCATCATCATCATCACGTTATTTTAATGAATGCCTTTAAGATACAAAAAAATATTGTTATGTTTCAAATACAAAAAAAACCACCTTTGCAAAAAAAATAATTATAATATAAAAATATTAAATTTTAAAAAGTTTTTGTGGTTACGTTTCACCTCAATTTATTTATGCAGTATTTATTATAAATAATATATTTGTAATTGTACTTTATATATTACAAGATTTTTTTTAAATATCAGGCATGTCACATAATGTAATCAAACCTATTTTTTCTTTCATGATTGACATTTTATTTTCATAGAAGTCCTATTTTTGGAATAAAGACATAGAACATTTTTTTTACATTTTTTATGTTTTACTCATATTTGTCTTTATCTCTGAATTATTTTGATTTACAACTTTTTTTTTATAAAATTTAGAAAAATGAGCAAATTTGAAGTAATAAAGGGAAAGGTGAGAATTTTTATATAAAATTAGATTAATAAAACATTCTATGTCACTATTTTATCCATAATTTTTTAATATAGTTTAACATATTGATGTTTTTATGTTTTATCATCTAGATTAATATACAAAAAAATGTCTTATTCATATTATAAAGTTGAAGAAAAAAGTAATGAGTGTGAATTGTAAAAATGGTGAGATGAAAAAAATATATGAACATAGAAGTTGTAATAATAATAACAATAATAATAATAATAATCACATTAAAAATATATCATTTTTAGAGTAATTGGTTGGGGAGTAGAAAAGGTTTGAAGAAAATGAGAATAATTGGAAGAAACTAGAAAAAACTAGAAGGAACTGGGAGAAACTGGAAGTTAAGAATTCAAGCCCTAAAGAACAGACTCTTAGTGCCTAAAATATTAGAAGCTACAAAAGAAAATCAAATAACATTATTTGAGAGAAACCCATTTTTTCAAAAAATAAAATACGGAGTATATATTAAAGTTCAGATGTCGAATGATATTAAAATTTATATCTAAGCTTCTCTTGACTTGAGTGACAGGATTACCTCTCTCTAAGATTTTGTAGAGCACTCACTCATCTATGACTCTTTGCAGAGACATTAGCTCATTGTACGTCATTATACTACAAAATTATAAACAAATACAGAGTGCCACAATTTAATAGAGTCAATAACAATAAAAAAAACACCTCTTTCGTTCACTAGACGGAGCCGTAAAAGTTTTTAAAGTAACCAGATACACTAATTTATCATTTATATTTATCTTTTATTGTGATATGAAGCAATCAAGTTACAACTAAATTTTCTCAAAAGAATAATAACCCTTCCTTTCCTTCATCTCAAACACAATGATATAACACAAGTTCACAACAACTAACAATAAAAACAAAGAAGCCCTCACTTCATTTCTTCACCCTTCAAAGCTCTCCATCTGTAATGTGCAGTCATGACATGCTGATGTTCACTCTCCTTCACTTAAAATGGGAACAATGAGTGGATTCATCTGAGCAAGATACACAATTGCCCACCTATCCAAGAAATGAAGAAAATATAGTGAACTTGAATTCAAAGTATTTCGTCGTTTCTTCAAGCAGCTGATACAGAAATAAGGGCCTTCAATCGGAACTAAAGAGGTATAAAGCCGCCAACATATAAGCACAAACCAAGTATTTTATCAAAACATAATGAAAAAATGGTGCCAAACTATGGCCTTGATGCACTGGATTATAACAATAAAAAAATTAAGATATGAAATTGATGTGGACAGTTCAAACCATAGTTGTAGACTGCATGTACTACAAATCTAAAGACCATCAAGAACCTATGTTTAAAATGAGCTAGCTAATTCACTTGGAGTGTGATGCATATCCAAATAACAAAAGATGGTGATAGGTAGTGTTCTAGACAGATGTTTTGAGCCAAGTATGCCAACTTGCTATACTGGAAATTCCACAATCAAGCATGCAAAACTTAGGGCAATACAGCAGCTAGCTCATATCTCACTTCGTTAAAAGAAGCGTGCTTCACCGTAAAATACATAAATGTTTTTCCCCGTTCCAAAGTGAAACAATGACGGTCATAAGTCAATTGAAAAACAAAAATGGGTGAGTGGATTGCATTCATACGGAGCTTGCATTATTTTAACCAACCAAACAGGGATGTGGACATCTGATCAACATAATATTGCCACACACATTCTTTGAAGGAAATAATGAAACATCATACTAACAACAACAACATTACCCCAGTGCCTCAACGGCTCCCGCCCATTGCAGGGTAAGGGGGGGTCGGATGTACGGAGTCTGACCCCTATGTTTAAAACATAGAGCGGCTGTTTTCAAATGACCCATGATGAGCGTCGAAAGTTGCATTGACCAACTACTACTTCACAATTGCAAAAAGTGTAGACACTTTAGAGAGCCAATTTGCTTTATTCCATCATACCAAACAAACAAAAACATGGATATAAAATCAAAGATGCTACAAAAACTAATCAATGATCACAAATGTGGGAATCCATGGAAAGGGAAATAAAGCAACTTGTGAGTAGTGATCAAAGAGTCTTTTTTTATTACAAAAAACTGGGAGCATTCCAATTTCCTGAGCACTAGTATATATCCCTCTTCCAGCAATATTTATGGAAGTAATGTAGTCAACTAAATTTACTGTAAGAAATTTATGTGATGATATTGTGCCAAAAGAATTCAGCTAAAAATCATACTCACATCATCCAGCAGCAAACTGTTGCGGTGATAATCAACGTCAGGTGAAACCTACACAAGAAAGCACAATTTTAGGCCCATGCAAGTCATAAAGTCAATTCAATACTAATGTTTAGGAAGAAAGTTGACAAATATTCAGGGGGGGGCATCAAATTACTCCCTCCGTCCTGAAATGTTCTTCCCACGTACTATTCATACGGTCAAACTTTAATCACTTTCTTTACCTATTTTCATTAGGTATTTGATAAAATAATATAATCTTGTCACCACTTGTTTTGTAAAACTTTTGATGTAGTTTTTAAATATATAAATTTTATTTTTTAATTTTACACCTACAATCAAATAAATTGAATTAAAAATAAAGTCGGTCAAACTTCGTAAACAGAACCGGGAAGAACATTATAGGACGGAGGGAGTATTTTATTATTTCATTGAGTTGGGAACTTGGGATCAAAATGCGGTTATTTTCGTAGTTTGGTGTTGTTTTGTAAAGACATAATGAGGGTGTTCGTCATTGCCTTTCTACTCAGCTTGCACACAAAAACTGATTCCAGCATATTTCTACCATATTTTACTTCTTCAAATGTCATTCTACAGAAATTTTACCGAAACAACGTTCTGTAGTGTAGCTTTTCAGGAATGACGATTGGTAGAAACAATGGCAAACACCCTAAGAGTCTGCATGTTATGCACAAAGATACCACTAAAATGTATACTGATCTGAAAACATTATATTGGTGGCCAGGTATGAAGAGAGATATATCATATCATGTCACCATGTATCTCAATTGTCAGCAAGTGAAAGCTGAACCTCAAGTCCCCTATGGACTAGGTGCAGCCGATTTCGATCCCTCAGTGCAATTGGGGTCATAATGTAATGGGTATATGTCAATAGCTTGAAAAAGACTGCATTTCTTTCCAAACAGAATAGATTACTCTTTATAAAAAGTTACGGAGTATTAAAAACTGCCAGGGTTGTATAATAATGAGACATCACAGCTGCATTGCCTGCATGGGGTGACAGTACCTATCATATCAAATAGGGATCCAAAGTTCATGTTGAGATTTTGCAGGAAGTTGTAAAAATAAATGGGAAACAATCGAGTTTCAGTAAACACTCCATCTAGACTGAAGGGTTACAGAAGATGGTGATCTGGATATTAGAGGATATATTAAGGAGATCTAGGAATTCAAGGTAGAAATTGGTGCACACTTGTATTGATATGATTTCTTATATAATTTTGTGGGGATGGATAGGATTTAATCTAGCCAGTAAATGTAGATGTAATGGCTCATATTCTAACAACTCAGACAGTCTTTTAGATCGCCAATTAGTCTTTTAGGTTTGAATTGCAAGAGGGATGAGGTTTTGAGTAGTTTTTGTGTGACAAAGCCAATAATAGGAGGGAGAAAGAGTTGGCACAATCTCAGGATTCAATGTACAGATTGATTCCCATTAGTTTTTTATGGATTCTAAAATATTTTCAGATGAAGGTCTAGGTTATAATCAAGCCAGTAAATGAAGATGTCTCCATGGGTCCTCATCCAAAATATTTTGGATAATTAAATTATATGCTCCCCGAGAACCATCAGCTCAAGTCTTATGAAATTGATTTAATGATTAAATAAAGTTAAAACAAATCACTAGGAAATGTTAAGGGTTCACCCCAAATCTTATCATCATACAATCAGTGATATCAAATCTGAAGTTTTCATATAGGATATGATCACATGATGATATAGTAGTGATGTAAAGAAGTAACCAAAATATTGTTTCACTAATTTAATTTGCTACCAAATTGAAAAGAAAATACTACGCATAACTTGGCTTAAAAATCTTGAATTTAAAGTTGAATAGATGCTGAGAAGCTAAGAATGAACAAACAATAAAATCTGTAAAAGTAGAACACAGAAAGGATTCTAATTAGGAAGAAGATCGCATCGTATGAAACATATTGAGCTTACAGATTAGTGGAAGGCCCTCTATTGCAACAAATTCTGGAGCACAAAGACGCAATAACTCCGATCACAATAAAAACAAGAGTCGTCACCAAAAACCCCATCGCTTCTCGACTTCAAACTGCGGAAAATTCTGATGTAAGCGAGTAATATTTTAACAATCCAAACATATGTGAGATCCGATAAATATGAACAAAAATTGATCCCAGGTAAGAGATACTCCGTAATAAAAAAGAAATTCCAAACGAAAGAAAACATCAACCCCTGAGGAAAATCGACAGGAATAGATTCGGAAAGATTCATATTTGCAGAGACACTATAGCCGAAAGGTGAAAGGATATTATGGCTTGGTTACCGGCAACGACTACCGTGGCGGCACTGTGTCTCCTCTATCCCGGTATCGCGTTTCCCGATCAACTGACCACCGGAACACAACTTACTGATGGGACAATTAGGACCTTGTGGCAGGTTTCAAATTATTTTTTCTCGTTATTACTTAGGGTCTACTTATTATTTTTATTATTATTTTTTTATTATAATAAGATCAAATCAGAACTAATCAGATCAGATCAGATTCAATCAGATCAGATCCAATCAGATCAAATCAAATTCAATAATATCAAATCAAGAAAAAATATAAAAAATAATATTTTTATTTTTTTCAAGGATTAAATAATAATTACTAGTATTTGATTAAATCACATTACTTTAATTAAAACTACACACACCTAAATGTTAATTAATATTATAATTTTAATTTTTATTATTGTTTTTATATTATTATTATTATTATTATTATTATATTTCAACTACAAACCATCATTTTTAATAATTGCTTAGCTTGTAGGATAGGAATGGTGCATGAAAGCAATGTTAAAGCTTAAAAAGTTATATTTTTCATACTTTAAAAAGAGTTATTTTAAAATACATGCTTATAAAATAATTATAAAAAAACTTAGTTTTCAAAACCATAATATTTTATACTTAAAAACACTTACTTTTAAACATTAAGATGGTATAATATACGCAAGGGTGAGTTTATGACAAAATTGATAGAAGTAAAAGGGATATTAGTGTTTTTAAAATTTATATGATCTTTAATATGTTACATTAAATATACTACTCTCTCCGTCCCTCAGTATTTATCTACTTTTGACTTTTTCGGTCAAAATTTGTAAAATTTTGACTTTAAATTAAATAAAAATGATATTAGATATTGATACAAAAATAATTTTATTAGATTTATCATACCAAATATTTTCAAAATATTATTTTATATAATTAATATACAATATATATTTTATTTAATTATAGGTCAAAGGTTGAAAATAATTGACCGGAAAAAGTCAAAACAGGACAAATACTCAGGGACGGAGATAGTATTATGTAATATGCATATAGAATGTGATATTTTTGTAGAATAGCATCCATATTTTCTAATATTTGGTTATTTTAATACAGATTATTTAGTTGATCAGATCCAATCAGATCAGATCAGAACATCAAAAATTCAGATCAGATTCAATCGGATCAGACGTACGGAACAGATCAAATTTAATCAGATTAGATCAGATTCAATTAGATCATATAAGATCCAATCAGGTACAATCAAGTCAGATCTATAAAAAATTATTATTGTTATTATTATTATTACTATTACTATTATTATTTCTATTAAAATTAATATTTATATTAATATTATTACTTTTATTACTATTATTATTACTATTCATATTATTATTGTTGTTACTATTGGTACTATTACTATTATTATGATTATAATTATTATTACTATTGTTATTATTACAGTTACTATTATTATTATTATTATTACTATTATAACTATTACTATTATTATTATCATCATCATCATCATCATTATAGTTTTTATTAATATTACTATTCTTATTACTAATATTATAATTACTACTATTGTTATTATTTCTATTATTATTACTATTATTAATATTCATATTATGATTACTATTATTATATTTATTATAATAAAAATTTTAATTTTAATTTTAATTGAAATGATTATTACTATTATTATTTTTAATACTTATATTACTATTACTATTATTAGTATGATTATTATTATTTTTATTATTCCAATTATTTTTATTATTACTATTATTATCATAGTTATTATTATTATTATTACTATTATTATTATTACTATTATTATTATTATTTCTATTATTATTATTACAATTATAATAATAATAATTTAAATTTTTATTTAAATTGAATATATATCAGATTTGATCCAATCAGATCAAATCACATCAAATTAGACTATTAGACCAGATCAGATCAGAACTTCAAAAAAAATTAGATTAGATCAGATCAGTAGCCTAAGTTGAGTTAAATTAGTCTCCTTAACTAAAATTGATAACCAAATTAGTCTTTTTAACAAAATTTATGTGTTAAAATTCAGAATTATCATACTTTTTTTTAATTCTAAAATTCTGGTGACCCCCATGTTTCTTCTTTTATATATCTGGTAATTATTCTCATCAAATGATGTTGTGAAAACAAATATTTTTGGGAAATATTTTTCGCATTTACCATCACTCATACACGGAGATCTAGAAGCATCTATGCCACAAGGACCATGAATTTTCAATCAAGTTATAGATTCATACATCTAATCTTTATATATAAATTTAATTATGTATATATTAAAAGAATTCTAAGCAAATAACAAGTATGTTCTATTTTAAAATTCAGATTTTCCATTTTTTCATTACTAATTTTGTAAAAATTTATAAATTCATGTCACAAAATTACTATTTTCCATTAATAACTTTGTAAAATGATGAAGACTTTGTACAAGGATATTTATATGTAAGAAATTAATTATTAATTGGTGTTCCTAACCAAAATATTCACGGTATAATATTAATTATTATAAGTTTAATTACTATTAAATAAAATTCTTGAAAATAGAAAATATGCTTAGTTTTACATCCATGTCAAAACAATATAAATAAGTAATATTCTTGCTTATTTATTCATCCGACCATCGACCACAAGGTGATAAATATTACTGGATAATAGAAATTTTTTATGTTTAAAGTTTTTAGATAAAAATATTTATTGTATCTTTTTATGATGGTTATTACATATACAAAAAGAGAGGGATCGTCATCGGCTAGCTATAGCCTCACATGATCGAACATGTTCGAGAAAGAATGTACTCTATGTTGTGACACATGGTATTTTTATTATTTTGAATTAAATATTTAAATTTTAGTAACTTTTCCCCAAAAAAATGATCAATTCAGTGCTTCAATCAAGGAATATTTATATATACACTTCATCGCGCTTTCAAGTGCATAAGAGACAAAAGAGATTTGATCTATCTTCTATAACACATGCTTTTAATTTCCTTGAAGATGATAATACAACAATTAGCTTTGTGTATTAACTAATTATATGTATAAGATATTATAAACAATGTAAGCAAATACCACGTAAATTAATATGGTTTATCCTGAAGTCTATCAAAAAAATTAAGTACACTTTCAATTCCTCAAATATAATTTACTCTACTTTGCCGTTGTAGTCCATTAATTAAAATTTATGTTAGAAATATATTTACCTGAATCTGGAAAATATATTATGTTGAAAAAAATTTAGAATCAAAAAATTTGCGTTCGATCCCGTGCATGGCACGTGTTAAAATACTAATGTATTTATATTTATTAGGCAACTTCATACATATTACATAATCAATTGACTCAGGTGATTGAAGTTTATCCATCTCGTGTAACCATATTAAAATATGTGAATGAGATAAACCTCTCTTTTGAAACTCAATATTGTACAAACCTACACATAATTAAGACATTCAAATGATGATACTTTGAATATGAATGTCTATACTATAACAATTTTATTATTCAAATGAAAATAAAATAGTAAACTTTAACATTACCTCCAATAACTTCACCAAATATATGTTCTTTTTAAGCTCTTCTCTAAATGATCCAATTTCATTTTAAAGATTTTAGATTCAATATCAGGTCTGTCGCATATCTTGCAATCTCTGACTATTAGGATTGCATGTCATAGTAATCAATAAATCTGGACAACTAAATCTTCTACAAATGGTCATTGCATCTTGACAGTTGTTAAACATATTACCCTAGTGAATGTACGTAGATGGTAGAATACTTCGATGGCCAATGGCTGCCGATTCAGTATCATCTCTAATCACAGATTCTTGTATGCCACTCATACTTGCTTCTCTAACTTGATACTGGTTGAACCGCACCTTCTGAATTCTTCGTGCTTCAATCGTCGTGTATGCATCAACCTAAAACTGTAAGTACAATCTTTGTGCAAGCAATATAATGCCACTTTATTTTCTCTTTTTTGTGTATTCAAAATGTAATAAATTCTTTCACTAAGACCTTCAAACGCTTTACATTTTTCGCTCAAAATTGATTTCCCATATATATATATATATATATATATATATATTCTTGACATCCATCCTCTCCAAAAGGAAACAAAAAGGGCATTGCACGAGTATAAAAATAGGGTGTGTCTCATGAATATTTTTGTAAAAATTCACTTCTTTTTGCATCAATTTAATCGGCACTTTTAGTTTTTAGCGTAGTTAAATTGTTAATGTATTTTAATTTTGTATTCTAATTTAAATATCGTGATTCTGAGAGTTCAACTCTCAAAATATATATAGAAAGATAATATAATAAAGGATAGAGGATTATTCAAGTAATAGTACTCCGTAATAAACATGGAAGCCTACGGAGCATTGAACATTTATAATATTTTAATTAAGGCAGATACTAAAAAGAGTACGTAATTAAGACAAATATTTATATTTTAATAAAGACCCTTTCTAAAAAGGGAAATTAATATTTTGTGATGAGATGAAAAGATGTCATTAATTTTAATTAAGGCAAGAATTTCTAGAATGAAATTTTTATTATGAAAGTGGCAACTTTAAAGTTTAGTTTGTAGAAATTGACTAAAAATATCAATCAAAGATATGAACATACCAACGTTGTGTTGTTCTCATTCACGATTTGAAATTCAACTATCATCTAAGAAGGCATTAAAGATTTTCTACGGAAGAATGAAAAAGTTGGCATAGATGCGTAATTAAAATGAAGCCAATCTAAAATTTATACTCCATAGAAATCCAAAGAAAGGAGATGACAAAGATGGAGTATCTTAAGGATTAAAATTGATCCAAAATTGTAATTCAAATCTGGAAAAAGGAAAAGATGCTTGGCCGCGTAGGCGTAACTGAAGATTTCGCCTTCATAATTTTTAATCTCAGTCGATTACCATGTTAGATATTTCATATATTTTTTACCATTCGTTACATGTACAATCATCATTTTAGTTTTAAGACCTAATTACATGACATAGTGATGTGTCAAAAAATTGCCACATAAATATTTCACATGTCAAGCTTTTGTGAAATGAGCCTCAATTATTATAAAAAAGGATTTAAAAGAAAATTATGACGACCGACCCCGCCGGTCCATCTATGAGACTACAAAAAAACCTGCTGCTCATTTTTCTTGTTTTCATTCGCTGTATTTGACCATAAAATATACAATCACCACGATTTCAGTTAATGCTCCCATTATCATGTTAGAATACAATCATATTCTTACAATTGTCATACATGACGTTAGTATGTTTAAGTATTACAAATCAAATGGTGTAACTCATTTATACCCCGCTCCATCCCCACTATATAAAAGCACAAGAGAGAAAAAAAATTAAAAAGAAAAAAGGGGAGGATGAAGATGCATGGTGCACACCCCTAGCATTTAGTGTACCCCTAACATTCCTCTAAAAAAAATTTGGGAGGGAAGGATAATATAGTAAAGCTTTGCCATAAATAGTGTGAACAGATCATTTTTTAGTCCACCCCTCAATTATTAAAATTAAAAAAAAAAGGATGAGCTTCATCCCTGAGACCACTTTCAGCTTTCAGACTCGACTGAAAGGAGATAAATTGAACTTTCAAATCACAGATTCGTAGCAAAAAGTAGAGACTGCACCTGATACTTGAATTGCAGAGGTTCTTTGCTTAGTATAATTGTCTTCCAGCGCACTTGCTAGAAATCAAACTCGAATCTTACTTATTTATACTCCTTACCTTTGCCAACTATGCAGCACGCACCCGCCCCTCAATTATAAATCGTAAATGAGATTGAGGATATTAAAGAATTTGTATAGCTAGATACAGAGTACATTACATCGAGAGCGTTAGAAAAATAATCGAACAATTATAACACAATAGACTATCAGAAACAAAATTGGGAGGAACAAAAATGTGCAAATTAGAAATAAAAGATGAACACACTATTTTTACATAGAAAATCCTCTAAAAATATTCTTTCCCTAATAATTTCCTCCATGGGAACACAGTGAATGAAAATAAGGGTAAATTTCACCCATGGTATACGAACTTTCATCACTATTTCAATTTGGTATATAAACTTTAATTCCTATCACAAAAGTACACGAACTTTCAACATTCTTTCATCGGTGGTCCAATAGGCGGTTTCTAAGTGACTTTCAGGTCATTTGGGGCCAAATTATAATTTTATAAATTTAAATTTTATGATTTTGACCCCTTTTCTTTTTTTATCTTGATTCTCCACCCTTTTTTTCATCTTCTTCAACACCCCCACCCTCCCCCTCCATTTTTTTTCTCTTCAAAGCCCACTCTTGATTGAGGCGGCGTGGGAAAGGGTGTGGTTGTACGCCCCCGAATCCACCTGAACCTCGTCTGGGAGAGGAATTAAAGTTTATATACCAAAGTGATAGGAATTAAAGTTTATATACCAAAGTGAAATAGTGATGAAAGTTCGTATACCATGGATGAAATTTACCCATGAAAATAAGCATGAAGACATCTTTTTCTCCTTTCCAATTTTCTTCCTCCCTTTCCCCTAATTTCTTCCTTTCTTTTTCATCTTTTTTACCCTTCGGCGCCAACTACACTCACACTCCATTCTCTTCTTACTCTTTTCCCATTCACATTATTCTATACTCACATTATACTTTTCTTTATTCAACTTACAGAATTTTTTATTTTTCATTCCAAAAATAAAATAAACTCTAACATGACTGATTAACAATTGAGATATCCAACAAATACTATATATATATAATACACACGTACATTACCTCAGATCACCATATCTCTTGTACAAGATGGCAACTCTCAAGCTTTCATCACATCTTCTCATTGTTCTTTCTATAGCTACGGTCATTTCAATCTCATACACGATGACTTGCACAGAAGCACAAAGGTACAAATTACCTAGTCACGTAGGAATATGTTACAGCTTCAATTGCTACGAAATACCCGATTCGGATAAAATCGCGGGCATATACAAAAAGTATGGAATCACGAAAATGCGAACATACGCACCTTTGCCACCTCTTCTTGGGGCACTGAACGGCACTGGCATTGAGCTCCTCCTTGGCATCGACAATCCTGACCTCCCCAGCTTAGCCGATAGCGAAGCCGCGGTGGAGGCCTGGTTCGACACCAAAATCGTGCCTTTCCTCGACAACGTTAAAATTCCCTACATTATTGTCGGCAATGAGGTTATGCCTGGCCCCTCCGGCAAGTTCCTTCTTGGTGCCATACGTAATGTACAGAACGTTCTTGATAGACGTCGCTTCCCCTTTCTCCAGGCAAGTTTGTACTTCCTTCATTACCCAACTTTTCTTGCTTGAATGTTTGTTATTTCGATTTTCGATGTGATCTGAAATGGCTATTACTGCATATATGCATGCAACTGATTTTATTACTTGCGTAATATAATAATATTTCGAGTAAATTTAATCACTGCTAAAAAATTGCAAACAGAGGGAGAAAAGTTGGCCTTTAATTGTACAGAATCCGCAGCTAATTAATATTTAGAGTGGAACTAGAGGCGGACTCACTTCTGCCGCTAAACACACTGCCTCTATTTTTCGAGGTGGAAAATGATCAATGATTATATGTGGTTTTTGTTAAAGTTCCCACATCAGAAAACAAAGATGAGTATCACTAGCATATATAGAAGGGTGAAACTCTACCTATCAGGTTAAACTTTTGGGTTATTAGAATAATAAAACCCGACTTTGGAATGCAAGTGGTTCATTTTACCTGACACTCCACCCTTAGTTCTCGGCCCACCGGAATTTTAAAAGTATTCCATGTTTAATTTTAGTGAAATTTGCACGGGATAGGATTAAAACATAAGTCATTTTCCAATGTAGGACTAAACTTTTTTATTCCCTAAATAAGACTTGATAATGTCTAGTGAGAAGAATAATGTCCAAGTAATGTTGGACATTTAGTTGAATGATGACTAAACGATAATGACCAATGATCCTACATTGAAAAATAAAAACATATGATCCTATATTGAGAAAGTCATTATGTTTTAGTCCTACTTAGGTAAATTATCTTTAATTTTAATTTCTAAGGTATTACTCCCTCCGTTCCACAAAACCCTTCTCCTTTCGTTTTTTTGAATTCCCTAAAACACTTCCACTTTCTATTAAAAACCCACTTTTACCCTTACTTTTTCATACCCTACCTATCACATCTTACTTTTTCACTAATAACCAAACTATCACATACTCCCTCCGTTCCTTAAAACCCTTCCGCCCTAAATTTTTGCGCATCTCATTAAACGCTTTTACTCCCACCTAAAATATCTAAAATATACCCCACTATGTAGTTTATTGCGGGTAGAAGTTGTTTTAGGGGTATTTTAGACATTTTAGGTGGGATAGAATTATTTTATGGGGTGCGCAATAAATTAAAACGGAAGTGTTTTGTGGAACGGATGGAGTATTACTTTTACCCATCACATCAGGGGCAAAATTGGAAAGTCAACTAAAATTACACTTTTCTTATTTTTGTCAAAAGTCAAAAGTGGAAGGGTTTAAAGGAACGGAGGGAGTACATCCTTGATTTTTAAAAACTATACTATAATTAGTCCTTTAAGCAAAATACCACAAAATATCTTTTTCCACATATAGTCCCGAACCTGATTTCATGATTTGAATGCAGAACACCAAAGTAACGACGGCACTGAACATGGGTTCATTAAAATCCACCACAATGAACCCATCACAAACCACATTCATAGACGAAGCCAAGCCACTGGTGACACCAATCTTGCAACACTTACAAGCCCACGGCGCGCCCATCCTACTCAACGTCCTCCCCTACTACGAACACTACTATAACCCCAAGTTTCTCCACGCCGACTACGCCCTATTCACGGCGCCTGACACCGTGGTTCAGGACGGTCAATTTAGCTACACCAATTTATTCGACGCCACGGTGGATGGCTTCCAATGGGCCATAGAGGATGCCGGTGTCAAAGGCCTCGACATCGTGGTGTCAGAGAGCGGGTGGCCCCACGCCGGTGCACCCAACTTTGCCTCCCCCGAATTGGCGGCGACGTACATTAGGAATTACCTGGGACATGTGTGGAACCGTCCGGGCACACCTAAGGTGCCCCCTTCTAAGATTCTTGCTTACTTCATTTACAATCTCATTGACGAGAGTCGTAACCAAGCTGCCCGAGGGGATCGATACTTTGGGTTGCTCAATCAACAATTACTCCCTAACTACGATTGTGGCCTATTTCCTTAAAACTAATTCCTTTGCTATTATTGTTCTATTTTCACTGTTATCATAATGCAATTACCTTTATACCACACTGTCATCACACTCATATTTAGATAATTAAAATATGTCACCTCCTATTTTGATAGTTCTGCTCCATGTTACTCTTATTTTGAGAGATTTATTTGTTTAAATTTATCGGTCAGTCTCATTTGTATTGTCTCTGAGTTTGCACGTATTATGTAAAATCTATTTAGTGTTCATATCCATTGCATAATTTATTTTAATTGTAGGAGATGATGTGATCCATATTCTTATAGTATCGTGTTTTTTTTTGCGTTTATAATTGAAGATGTTCAATCAAGTTCACGGATAATAAATTACGTAGTAGTATTTAAACGTGCTGATATTGTTAAGATTGGTCTTGGGTCTGTTTGAGAATAGCGTTAGAAATTAGCGTTGCCGTTTTGAATAGGTTATCTACGGGCATCGTTTAGCATTAGTGTTTTCAAAGTTAATGTGCACTGTTAAAATTTTATTCAAATTGCTAACGCTAATTGAAAATGTTTTTCTCAAACCTGCCCTTTATGATGCTAATCTTTTTATTATTTTTTTAACATTTGAAATACCATAATTAGTTTCTCTTTCCTCGTCTATTATATTAGACCCCACACATTTTAATTGAAAATTAACCATACACCACCCATTTTAATTTAAAGTAAATAGATATTTAGAAGGTGTTTTCAATTTCTTTTAAAATATATCTGCAAAAAGTTATTTTAATGGGGGAAGGTCATTCCTAGACGCATGGAGTACGTACAATAATATGCATCAAATATTAAGATCCTATTGAATATATGCAGGTGCATTTGTGATGTGATAAAAGATTTTGACTAAACATTTCTTAATTTCCTACCCGGATTTTGTTGGAGATTTATTTTGAATTCAAAATTGAATTCGAAATGAATGGATACAACCTTTATTTTGAAGAATTATGTTCATTGTTACATGACACAACTCTTCATAATTTATTTTGAATCCAAATTAAGGATATTTTAAATGAATAGATATAAAGAGACATGACCATTCTTTGAAAGGCATCTCTTCCTTATCAAACATCTAATTTTATTAAAAAATTGGGGTAATTTTAAAAAATAAAATTTACATATTTGAAAACTGCATCGAAAGTTCTACGAAACAAAAAGTGATATATAACTATATTGCCAAATAGGTAATGGAAGTGTGGAACACTTAAAGGATTTGAATGATGTTTAACCTCGCAAATAATGAATATGCATTTTAATTTAGGATAGAGGAAGTATCTGACTCTCATCTCTCACACCCACATGTTCAAAAATTGTACGATTTACCCCTAAATTTTAAAAAGTGTATTGTTTACCCTTGATCTTTTCAGATATTACACGATTTACTCCTAAACATTAAAAATTACACCAAATACTCCTAAAAAAATTTAAAGTGTCGTACACTTGCATCATTTCGAGTGCAGGGTACTTGGCCAGATGATATGCAAGTCATCCAAGTTGTTCCAGTACGTTGACAAGATGGTATTGCATTATTTCTCACGGTCAATCACAATGCAGATTACAAAGTTTCTTAATTGAATGAGGCACAACATACATGACTGTACCACAACATAGATCTAAGACAGACTTGACCATTAGAGATAGCTTCAAATTGTCTCCTTGTCAAAGCCTTCTTCTCGCGGTAGTTGGAATTTGACGATTAAGATGCCATGGTCAAAGATCCTCGATTGAAGAACTACTAGTGTTGTGTTAAATAAAGAAGATAATTTTGGAGAATTAAGGACTAGATGAATCATACTCGCAATTTTCGTGTGTGGGAGCAAGCACTCCCTATCTAGCATTTTAGGACCAACAGTGCAACATTTTAAATTGTTCAGAGGTATTTAGTGCACATTTTAATGTTCAAGGGTTAATCGTGCAATTTCCAAAGAGTTCGGGAGTAAATAGTGCATTTTTTAAAGCTCAAGAGTAAACCGTATAATTTCTAAAGTGTTCGTGAGTAAACGATACACTTTTTCCATAAAAATTCTATCCAATAAAACCTTTTCGCTTTAAGAAAAGATGAGATTTAATAAATGTATAATTTTAGTACTCTGTATTAGTTTTTAATTGTCATTACTTTATAATAAGATAAAATAAAGTGTGACTAATAAATTAATAGTGAAAGATATTATGTGATAAGCATGTTAATAATCAATAGCGGTAAAGAGGAGATTTAATTGAAAATAGAAGTGTTTTTCGAAACAGATGAAAACTGCTCCAGTGGAAATGAAAGGTGTAAAAGAAACCATTTGAAAACTCTGTTTTTTCTTTCTATAACCAAAAAGAACATATTATGAGTAGCTAACCTGCACTTCTCTAACAGAGAAAGGAACAAGAGAAGTGGACATCGGCCACGCAATTCAAAGAAGGCATTACTATATTGTTTACACAATATATTATTAGTTTGAATATAACATTACAATAGTTTATTGATGGGGTGGGGTGGGGGATGATCTTACATGGTATCCCTCTACTGCTCCACACCAGTAAATCAATGCAGCATCTCACAAACTGAGAGAGACACAGAGAGAGAATATAGGATAATGAAAAAAACCATTTAAGGAGAATGTAGCTCGTCACGAGAACAGAAGATGTTCTTAAGGAAGAATAAGAAAAAAGAATGTATCAATCAATCAAAAAAACAAACTCTGCCTCTCAGTGGAGTACCAGTGGTACTCGCTCGGTTTTGGGGATCGGTACACACACAGCACGTTATATATAGAAGTACTAAATCCCGCTTAGAATGGGGCCTAAACAACCACTTATAAAATAAAGAAAAGAAGAAAAAAAAAGTGAAACCTTAAACGCGCCTTGGCATGAAAAACCCTTCAAACTCTTCCCACTTTCGGAACATCTATGTTTTCATCCTCTTTGACAAGATTTGTGTTACCTCTATATGTGATCAGTTCTGCTTATTTCCTGAAATGTGCATTGCGAGGAGGAATGTGTATGTAAAACTTCAGTGCCCATTTCGGTAATATCTCTACTAGTAATATTTTCTCCATACATCCCAATTAATGACACCTGCTATGCTGCAATTCCTGGAATGATATTGCAAGAACACAAGAAATCAGTGTACGTATGTGTGTGTGTATCTTGGTATATATAGTAAACCTTTTTTTGTGAAAAACAGAAGCATAAAAATATTTTTGTAGATTAATCTATGATACATATATAACCTGGATTAAAAACAAAAAACATAGGATAAGAATGAGAAGTATGATGTACTCCGTAATAAAATAGTGGGGGTAAAAGAAGAGAGGATAAGAAAAAACCCAATAAAATACCACGAGGTAGGGTCTCAGGAGCGTGTGTAGGTACATGTTACCCCTAGTTAGAGGGTAGAGAGGCTATTTCCAAAAGACCACAGCTCAAAACATAGAAGCACTTTGACAAAGGAAAGCAGCACGAACAAATAAATGACTCATACAAAACCAATCACGCATGCAGAAACCACAAACTAGGCACAAAAGGACACATGCATAAACTACAAACTTAGGCTCAATGATCTACCCAACCACCCTCACCCTAGACCTCGAGACATTCCTATCTATTGTCTCGGTAATCACCTCATCTCTACCACTCCTAGCTTCGGGGGTCACTGACATGTTCATTACAAGCTTGATATTCTTAAAACCAACATGCAAATCATGAAACTTGACTATATAAGAAAAGATTAAGGTAACACACCTATTTGAGAAGAGCCACATTCAGTGATTCAAGCCTCTAAGAAAAATATAAGGTGGATTTACATGCTTGTAATATTCATTTCCTCTAGAAATGATTTTTTTTAAATGGTTTTCTTTGGATTACTTTGAGATTTCAATAAATATCTTTTTTTTTTCACAAGATGGTGTAATGAACTTCCATTTGCACAAGCTGACAAAAGCAGAGTTGAGAACGATCCTTCATTTGTCCCTAGATCATTCTCATGAGTCATGCCTATATAACTTAGGCAAAATTCACAAGAACATTCCCAGAAATTAGAGATTTTACATAAATACTCCCAAATTTGTTTATTTACACCATTACTCCCACATTTCTCTTTTATTTACGTCGTTACTCCGCGATTGCTTCATCATCAGTGTTTCTCATGTGCCTCTTTTTATACGGGGTTTTTCATCTTTTTTTATTGAATTCAAATTAAATTAATATGAACAGACTTGATATTAAACATTAAAAAGGTTTAAGAAGTTTGAAATCTCAATTTTTTTAAAAGTGATGGGAAATAAGGGCAATGATTAGGCTTACTAAGACGTGAGAAAGACGATGGAGAGAATAAGTTGAAGTGAATTTAGTATATTAGAGTGGAAAAAATACATGTCTGCATTTTAACTGTTCACTTAACGCAAAAATGACACATCCAAGTAACACTAATGATCACTACCAAATTTGGGAGTAACAACGTAAATAAAAGAGAAATGTGGGAGTAATGATGTGAATAAACAAATTTGGGAGTATTTATGTAAAATCTGTAATTTCTGAGAGTATTCTTGTCAATTTTGCCTATAACTTATGCCTTAGTTATGAAAACATATGGAAAGAAGTACTCGTATATGGCCAAATGATTGCAAAAGTCATTGATCACATGCTAAAATGGAGAAGGGGAAAGGGTGAGACTTTGCTGAAGGAACTTTGGTTAATTTCTTTATCTGTTTGCAGGGGTCATCACTTAGCATACACTGCCACGATCACAGGCGTAGAGCACAAGATATATAATGTACTCTTGAAAGAATATGAACTTCAAAATCTGATGCCTATAGTTTAAAATTTCTTCAAAAGATTATTTACATTGCATTTTAAATCTTTGATTTAATACTCAATCCAATATTATCATCATTAAAGTTCAGCTCTTTCAATATTTTCAGTGCTGTGCTAATACTGCCGAATAACCTTTCACATATGGATTAATGATGCAAACGTAAGAACATTGTTACCTCTATTAGTCTGTCTATTTGCAATATTATAAGCCCCAACATAACCTTCTGAGTCCTTGGCAGCGGCAGCTCCTGGATTTCCAAGCCCATATCCAAAAGAACCATTGGTATCGGAAGACATAACTTGCCATGTTGGATCTCCATACGCA